TCCTGTTTGTACCCCCAGCGCACCGCCTGCACCCTGCCCGCACCCCGCGAGCATCCTGCCTGTGCCCTCAGTGCACTGCCCGCACCCCGCCATCATCCTGTTTGTACCCTCAGTGCACTGCCCGCGCCCTCCCGCAACCCGCTACCATCCTGCCTGTACCCTCAGCGCCCTGCCCGCACACTGCCCGCACTGCCCGCATCCTGCGAGCACCATGTCCACAGCGTTCACCACCTGCCCGCCCTGCCCGCAGCCCCGCACGCCGCCAGCACATTGTCCGCGCTGCCCGCACTCCGCGAGCATCCTGCCCGCACTCTCGCTGCGCTGCCCGCGCCCTGCCCGCACCGCCACCCCAACAGCCGCAGGGATGTGTTCCCCATCTCGCCAGCGCCGGGTCAGCCGGGGCACCCCCGGGGCACCGGCACAGACCGGGCCGGCAGAGCCGCGGTGCGGGAGGTGCGCGGGGGTCAGGCCCCGCGGGTCGGGCTGGGGGTTCCACGGGCAGGGCGCGGACCGGTCCCAGGCGTCGGGGACAGGGCTCCGGGTGCGCCCCGGACCGGGGTGCCCGTCGGGGTGCCCGGTGCAGGCGGCGGCAGCCGCGGGGGGGGCAGCGGGGCGGGACCGGGCGGGGCCGGGCGGGACCGGGGCGGGCTCGGGCGGAGCGGTGAGGGCGCGGGGCGCGCACCCGCGATGACCATCGGCGGCCCCCGCGGCCGGCACCCCCGCCTCCAGATGCCCTGTCTGCGCAAGGTGAGCGACACTGGTACCGGTACCGGCACCCCCCCGAGGGGAATGGGCACCGCGCCCGGGCAGGGCACCGGCACGGCGAGAACCGGGCACTGGCATCCCGGGGAGCGGGTACCGCGGGCACAGGGCGCTGGGACTGTGGGGATCGGGCACTGAGACCGTGCGGAGCGGGTACCGGGCACAGGCACCGTGCGAACCGGGCCCCACGGGGACCGGGGGGACCGGACACTGACAGTGCGCTGGGCAACGCGTGCGTCGGGGACCGGGGCACAGCACCACCCAGTGCATCGCGGGACAGCGGGCGCAACCCTGGCCCCGGCACCGCCACGGGACACCGGGCACCGCCCCGCGCAGGGGCACCCACGGGAAGAGCCCCGGTGCTGCGTGTTCTGCTCCCCTCCGCAGGGCCGGGGTGCTGCCACAGCCTCGGCAGAGCTCATTCCCCAAAACCGGGGGTCCCCTGGCCAGGGATGCTCGGATTGGTGCCTGCACCTCCGGCATCGCACACTCGCCTGGGTTCTGGGTGCCTTGGTCTGGCTGTGGCGTGCCAGCCTGTCCCCAAGCTGGGCACAGGTGCCCCGGGGAATTGCGGGGTGCCAGGCTGAGCACAGGCTGAGCACAGGATGCCCGTGTCCGGTTGTGGGGAGCCAGGCTGTGTCCAGGTCACAGGGTGCCCCGTGTCACAGTGTGGGGGAGCCAGGCTGTGCCCAGGCCCGATGCCCCCGTCGGGGGGCTGAGCACGGCGGGTGCTTTCCCGGCAGATGGAGAGGATGATCGTCAGCATGCAGGACCCCGACATGGGCATCAAGATGAGAAACCAGCGCTTGCTCATCACCGTCATCCCCCACGCCATGACAGGTGGGTCCCCCCATGGGGTGCCCCGCGAGGCGCGTGGGGTGGGGGAGGCGTGTGGGTGCTCCCCGGGTGTCCCCAGCACTGCACTCAGCACCCATCCCCCGGCACCCCGCACCGCTCCCCGCCCCGCAGCCGCGGGTGCTCGGCGCTGCAGCTGGGATCAATTATGCATCGGCTGCGCGGGGCGGGAGCTCGCACGTCCTTGGCAGGGCCCCCGTCACCCTGCGTGACCCCTGGCACTGCCATGGTGTGCCAAGCGCCCCAGCCGGGAACCTCCCCATGCCCAGCTTGGGGGACCCCATTGCACCCCACTAACGCTGCCTCGGTCCCCAGGGAACGACATCGTGGAGTGGCTCATCCAGAAGTACGGCATCTCCGAGGAGGGTGAGTGCCCTGGTACGGGCAGCTGGCATTGCGGGGGCAACTGGGGCTGCCGAGCTGCCCTGCAGCCCCCACTCCTGCTCCCCCAGAGGCGCTGCACCTCGGCAACCTCATCGTGAAGCACGGCTACATCTACCCGCTCAGAGACCCCCGCAGCCTGGTGCTGCGGGCGGACGAGTCTCCCTACCGCTTCCAGGTACAGCCCCGCCCGGCACGGGCACTGCCGCAGGTCGGGGCTCCCCTGGCTCGGTTCCGTGGCACCCCACGGCATGTGACTCAGCCTCTCCCTCCCCCCTCAGACCCCCTATTTCTGGACCAGCACCAAGTGGCCGGCCACGGAGCTGGACTACGGTAAGTGCCACCGTGCTGCTGGCACCACACGGGCTGCAGCCCCTTCCCAGCCCCTCTGAGGTGCCGCCGTTCCTCTTGCAGCCATTTACCTGGCCAAGAAGAACATCCGCAAGCAGGGCGACCTGATCGAGCACGAGAAGGTGAGCGGTGCCCTCCTGTGATGAGCTGGGGGGATCTCAGCTCACCCAGGAGCAGGGGCTCCCCTGTGGTGGGGGGGGCACCGGCACAGCGGGGAGTTGTGAGTGCCCTTGGGCCAACGGGACGCGGAGCCGGGCAAGGGGACAGGTGCCACACCGTGCCCACCCGGGTGACACCGCCGCTGCCGCTCCCCAGGACAACTACAACCTCCTGCACAAGCGGATCAACCACACGTGGGACTTCGTGGTGATGCAGGCGCGGGAGCAGCTGCGGTGAGTGCGGGCACGGCCCCGGGGAGCGGCCGGGACGGAGCCCTCGCGGGTGCGGGGCAGGCGGGGTGCGGGGTGCCAGCGCTCCCCCGGTGCCTCTGCACGGGCAGGGCGGCCAAGCAGCGGCGGAAGGGCGACCGCATCGTCATCGACTGCCAGGAGCAGGCGTTCTGGCTCGTCAACCGGCCCCCGGTGAGCACCGTGGGGGGCGAGGGGTGCCGTGCTGGCGGGTGCAGCCCTGGGAAGCGCCCTGGCACCACACACAGCCCCAGCCTGGGGAGCGGGGCTGGGGGGCACGGAGGGTCCCCCCAGCCTCCAGCACGGTGCTCTCTTTGCAGCCTGGAGCCCCCAATGTGCTGGAGCAAGGCCCCGAGCGCAGGAACTGCCACACCACCCGTGTCCAGCTGGTGAGTGGGGGGGTCCAAGCACCCCTGGGGCTGCCAGTGGGCAAAGGGCACAGCCATGTGCCTGTGACAGAGTGTTCAGCTGCCCCAGTGGGTGCCCATCCATCCCACCACAGGCTCTGTCCACATTTTGGGGAGGGAGGGGGGGAGTGAGCCCCAGCTCTGCTAACATCTGTGTGTCCACCCTGTGCCCTGCCCCTGCTGAGCCGGGGGGTCTGTGTGTTTGTCCATGTACCCACCATCCCCCTGTGCCAGCACCTCTAATCCCTGCAGGGCACTGCCTTGCCAGGAGCCCTAACCCTAACTCTAACCCTCTCTGTGTCTTGACCCCACTAATGCTGCCCCAGCACCCCCAGTCTGTCCTCACTAACCACCCACTTTCTCTTCTCTGCGCCCTGCGCCGTGTCCTCTGCCCACGTAAGTGTCACTAACCTAGGGCTGGTGTCACACTGGGGTGGGGGGTCACACCCCATGGGCTGCGCTGGCTGAGCCAGGAGGGCTGAGAGGATGAGACTGGAGGCCACGGGGATGGGCTATGGGGTCCTGGGGTGGGGAACTGGATGCCTGGATTGCCAGGGTGGTGATGGCAGGACACCATGTCCTGGCCCTGCCCTGCCCTCACCCAGCCCTGCCTGTCTCTTGCAGACCAAGAACATGGATTACTACAAGCGGGAGGTAAGTGGGGCAAGGGCTGGGGGTGGCTCCAGGGGGTCACGAGCTGCCAGACACCCCAATATCTCCCCTGCATCTGGTCCCAGATCGAGTACTGCAGGAAGGCCATGGCCAGGACCAGGGTGAAGTCCTCCATCTGCCTCGAGGGGTGAGTGGCAGTGGCTGCCCCGGCCACAGTCCAGGTCCCTGTTGGGGTGAGAGGGGCACCCACATTGCTGCAGCTGGCAGGCAGCACCACAGCACCATAACCCTCAGCAGGGAGTGGAGCTGAGGCTCTGCAGAGCCCAGGCATGTCCCCACCACGTCCCCATGGGGTCCCCACAGTGCCTGGGGTCAGTGGCCCTGGCCACCTCCAGCCACCACTCCCGGCAGGTACATCAAGTTCAACGAGCAGTACGTGCCCCACGACCCCATCATGTCTGGCTGCCTGCCCAGCAACCCCTGGATCACGGACGACACCACGTACTGGGTCATGAACGCCCCCACGTAAGCACCCCTGCCCCACAGCCCCCAGTAGCCCGACCCAAGGACGGGGTGTGGGGTCACACAGGCAGCCATGGGCTGCCAGCCCCAGTGCTGGTGCTGCCTGCAGGGTGACAACCCCCACAAAACTGCGCGTGGAGCGCTGGGGCTTCAACTTCAGCGAGCTCATCATGGATCCCCTGGGCCGGGCACAGCTCCTCGAATTCCTCAAGAAGGAGTTCAGTGGTGAGCGGCCCCAGCCCCACACCCTAAAACCCACTGCTGTGTCCTGGCACCCCCAGACCCATCACTCCGTCCCAGCACCTCAAACCCACCATGGTGTCCCGGTAGTGCTTAACCCACTGGCCAATCCCAACACCACCAAACCAACCCATGGCCTTGTCCTGGCATCGCACGACCCACCTCCCCATGCTGGCATTCCGAATCTGCCACCCCATCCCAGCACCTCCTGACTAACCTGCCCCACGCTCCCCTGGACCCACTGCCCCACACCATCCCAGCTGGCTCCATCCCAGGGGGGCTGCAGGGCCACATGCCCAGCCACAATGGCCTTGGGGGGTTGCCCGGGGGGGTGCCCAGTGCCACGTCCCCCTCCCCAGCCGAGAATCTGAGCTTCTGGGAGGCGTGTGAGGAGCTGCGCTACGGGGAGCAGTCCCGCATCGCCGAGATCGTGGACTCCATCTACCAGTGAGTGCCAGCGGGGCCAGGGTTTGGGGGGCAAGGTTTGGGGGAGGTTCCCACTGTGGGGCCGGGCTCAGCGCTGCCTGTGATTCCCCAGACAATTCCTGGCTCCCGGGGCCACGCGCTGGGTGAACATCGACAGCAAGACGATGGAGCGGACGCTGGAGGGCATCAAGACGCCCCATCGATACGTGATGGACGACGCCCAGATGCACATTTACATGCTGATGAAGAAGGTGGGTGAGGGCAGGGCTTGGGTGAGCAGGGCTGGGCAGGATCCTGACGCCTCTGCTCGCCCAGGACTCCTACCCGCGGTTCCTCAAGTCGGACCTCTACAAAAACCTCTTGGCCGAGGCCATCATCCCCCCGGAGACCAAGAAGCGGTGAGGGCAGGGACCGTCCCCCTGGGGCGCTGGGTGGTCCCTCCTGGTTCTGACCCCGCTCTGCCCGCAGGGTCTTCCCCTTCATGCGCAAACAGCGGCACTCCAGCCCCAGCCCGGCCCTGCTCCTGCCCGCGGGCGATGCCGAGGAGAGGGGCAGGAGCCCCTCGACTGCCCCCGTCCCCGAGGAGGAGAGCTGAGGCTGCAGCCCCCCGCCAACATGAGAGCCCCCTGACCCAGCACACCCCAGCCCCGCCGCAGGACCCTGCCGGCAGTAGCACTGAAGGAGAGAAGCCATATCTCCCCCAGCAACCCCCCGGGGCCAGGCTGGCCCCGCTGCAGCCCCCGCTCACATCCCCACACCCTCCCCTCCCTCGGGGAACCCGCACCCAGCCGGCCTGGTGCGGGGTCACCCCCTCCTCCCGCCCCCACCCCGGGCACAGGACAATAAAGCCTCCATGGGGAAACACTGAGGCTCCCACGGTTTTTGGGGAAGGGGGACAAGGGAGGCCATAGCAGGGTGCGAGGCGCACAAGGTGCTGGCCACCTCTCCAGGCTGGATTCTGTCCTGTACCCCCCGTGCTGGCAGCAACCCCCTCCCGTGCCTGCAGCACCCAGCAAGTGCAGACCCCAGGCCAGGAGGACCATCTTGGGAGCAGAGGCGGAGATGCCAGGGGCCAGCAAACCCAGCTGCCAGGGCCCTGTGGGCTGGCAGGGAGCAGGGTTGGCAGCTGAGCCACTCTCCCTGCCCATGGACTGATAATCTGAGCAGAGGGCGAGGATCTCACGGCAGGATTATTCCTTTCCTGGGAGCCGAGCCCCAGCTGTGGGGGATTATCAGTGGTGGTTACATAAAGGAGAGGGGGGCTGGTGCCCACCAGTGCTCACCCTTGGAGCCCAGCCCGCTCTACATGCACCCAGGGACCCACAGAGAGGAGCAGGCTGGGGGTGTTCCCAGCCCATATCCCAGCTAACAAACACCGTGGTCCCTGGGATGCTGGGCATTACGGTATCCTTCCCTGCCACAGAGCCTGGGATCCCTGGAGTGGAGCAGGGGGCATCCTGAGCTCAGTGCTGGGGCAGACAGAGGAGCCCGGGGGCAGTGGAAGCTGCTGGAGCCTCGGTCACAGGATGGGGCTCGGGGCCCTGGGCTGGCAGGCACCGGGCAGTGACAGATGGTCCCACACTCCTGGAGACAGCGCCTGCCACGCGTCTCCCTCCGGCTTGATCCAAATCCAAGCCCCGGCATGAGATTTTCCTGCTGATGGACTGCAGCGGGAATCTGGGGTGTAAAACCAGGTCACGGAGCCCCGGGCGGGGGGCAGGGATGGGCTGGCCCAGCCTGGTTATCTAACTCCAGCCTCCCTCCACACGCTCCCTTCTCCTGGCCCATCGCTGCCCGCAGTGAGGCCGGGCAGCAGGCAGCGCCTCAGCCATCCAAGCATCACCAGGACACCTGGATCCCTCCCGAAAGGGGGGGTTTCTGCCTTCAGGAGCCACCCAAAGGGCTGCCAAAATCCCAGAGGTCTGGTGTAACCTCCGCTGCAGCACCAAAGCAGGGCACCGTTTACAAACAATGCAAAAGAGCGTTTATTGAAACCATTTCGGTTAGAGCAAGTCCTGTACGGCACAATTTGCAATAAGTTAAAGAACCAAACCAAACAGTCTCAGTGTTAAAAATCACGCTAACACAGAACACAGTGATAATACGCCACCGCCACCCAGCTGGGTCATTGAATCAAGGCACGAAGTCATTCAGGAAATACCGCAAAAAAAACCCAATTACACAGGAAAATAAGCTGGAGAAAGGACTGGTTTTGTTAAGAAGGTGCTGGTTTGGCACTGATGCGTTTAGTTGAGCTGCCACAGGGAAATCTGCGTTTCCAAAGTACCTGGAAACATTAATGGACGACTTAAAGCCAGAAAAGCTCCCCAAAGCTGAAAATCCAGCTCCCCTGAAGGAACATTCAGTGTGCCTATGGGAAAGGGATCAGAGGAGGGAGAGCGTGGTGAGAATACAGCCCAGGCACCTCACTCCCTGCCAGGGGAATCTCAGGGGGATACAATCCACATCCAACACTCAGGCTGGACCAATATGCAAGCCTGGGTTTTCCCTGCCCAGCACCTGCAGCCACACTCCTGCTCTGCCCCAGGTGGCTGAAGGGCCTTGGAGCCTCTTATGGCTGCAATGCTGGCACGGGGACCTGTGGGGCTGCCAGGCCTCAGGTGCTGAGCAAAGAGCAACCCAGGCTGGGGGATACAGCAGGGGAATCTCCCCTGCAATCCCAGACTCCCTCAGAAAACAGCCTTTGAAGAGAGGAAGAGAGGGAAACTCACCATTTTGAGCCCAGGGTGCTCTGAAGGTTGTGGTGTGCTCACCAGGGAGCATCCCTGGCTTCCTGGCACAGCCTGGATGCCCCAGGACTGGTTCCCTTGACTGCCTGAGATACTGGTCACTGGGCAGAGGGAGCCAGGGCATCCTTTAGGCAGCCACCAGGCCAGCTGGAAGCAGGAGGTGTGTGTCCAGCAGCCCAGGTCATCGTGCTTTCAGACTGGGAAGGCTGAAGCCGTGCCTTGAGCCTGGTGACAGCAGCTGCCCTGTGGCACACTCAGACTCAGCTGAAGGGAAGAGCCAGTGCCCGACCCTGCACAGCCTGGCATTGTTTCCCATCCTACAGTGTTTCTACACATCCCCCAGTGTGAGACTCAGCAGGGGAGGGAGGCACTGGCCAAACCTCCTCGAGGCAGAGGGGGCAGAGCCTGTGAGAGGTTATTTTTAGGGTTAATTTTTATCTTCAGGACTGAGCAGGCAGTTCAATCCCTTTTACAGGCTTTGCACCTTGTTTCTACAGCCTGCTCTGGCACCCACCAGGACAGGGCAGAGCAAACACCCCCTGATGCTACACAGATCTCCAGGAGGAACACGTCATCTCCTCACAGCAACCTGTCCCATCCCTCAGGATACTGGCCTGGGCAGAGAGGCACCGAGGATCCCCACCCAGCATCACTTCAATTCCAAGGGCAGAGAAGCAGCATGGAGCTCCTGCCCCCCTCCTGGCAGAGGGGATAGTACTTGGAGAAGGCTCTTCAGCAGCTGCAAGGCTGAATGAGCAGGGAGCTAGCACTGCCACTCAGGTACAGGGCTTCCCAGAGCAACAATCCCAGCTCCCAGGAAAGGTTAAAGTGCAATTCTACTCTGAAAAAAAATGTCCTAGATCCTCTGGCTCCTTTAAATCAGGAGAGGTGGTGTTGGTACCATCAGGGACCAGCCACCCTGGGCTCATCACCTATAATGAGACTGAGGGCAGAGAGGAATATGGAGACCAGCTCCCTTTCGGTGTCACCAACACTGCACAGCCTGCTTGGGAAGGAAGGAGCAGAGGAGACAGACACAGGCAGGCTGGTGACTGCAGAGTAGGGCACGTGGGGCTGTTCTTAATAGAAAAGGCCATTTTCTAAGTAGAACAACACTTTAACCTGTGCTCTGCTGGTCCAGGTGACCCCCAGCCCCATGGACAGGCACGGAGGGGGTCTGGCACTACACACACCCACCACTACTGAAGCAGGGCCCAAATCCAGGAGAGGGTGATTGCAAACCAACCTGTAGCCAAGCACCTCTCCCCCAGCCAAGAGAGCTGACTCAGAAAGGAAATCTAACATCACACACTGAGCTCCAAGCACCCCAGAAATCATCCACTTCAGCATCCCCAGCAAGCACATGTTTTCCTCCAGACACACTCCAGTCAGCACAGTTCTGCAGGCACAGAGGGATGGAGGGAAGGGCCCTCTTCCCCGAGCTGACGACACCTCAGTGGTGGTCAAGAACTGAAGTCCCATCAGCTCTGAGGATTGATGCACTGGCAGCTGCCCCCACAGCCTGGGTGTCCCCAGACACTGGGGGCACTTCCCTGCCAGCCACGCTTTGGTTTGCAGGTCGAGAAAGGCAGCTTCCCATCTGAATCCATGATCTGGGCTTGTTGAGAGCACGGCTGCAGAGCAGAGGCAGCCTGGAGATGCCTGGCCCCGGGCAGCCTCTCCCCCTCCCTGGGCAGGCTCAGTCCCGGCTGTGGAATCGCATCCTGTAGAGGCGGTTCCGGATGTACTCCTCACTGTCCACAGCCACCTGGTTCAGCCAGATCACTTTGCTCTCTGACACATCCTCCTTCAGCTTCCTCTTCATCAGTGACACGGGCCCTGGCTCCTGGTTGGGCCGGGGGCCCCTCAGCAGCACGTAGCAGGCGTGACGGCTCCGCTCGAACAGCGCGGCTGCAAGGCACAGGGAACGCCCAGCCTGAGCCCTCCGTGCTCGGCCTGGCCACCAGACCCAACACCACACACCCAGGGAGGCCAGGAGGGTCCAGTGTCCTCCCACAGCTCCCTGCTGGAGGGCTGGGAGGAGAGGACTTACCGCTGAATGCAATTATTCGGTCTGTGTTATTGCGGAGCTCCAAGAGGACATTATTGTAGGAAGGATGGAAAAGGTACAGCTTCTGGAGGGGAGCTGTGGATCTCTGCAACAGGACACGATCAGGACACAGACCCACACGTTATCCCAGAGACAACACCAGCACCTGGCTCAGCTATTACTCATGCTGGACTGGGTTCATCCAGTCAGACACTTGTCCATGTCAGCCCAACTCATCGTGACTGATGTCACCAGGAACTAGTGCTGGGATTTTGCTTTCTGCTCAGTGCTCTCCTCCTCACCCCAAGCTTCCTGAAAATAGCTGGCCTGCCTGCTGCAGGCAGGAGACAGATTTTTACCTCAGGGCTGGCAGAGTGAGCGAGGAAAGCAGAGGAGGCTCAGCTGTGCTTCAGCACCCTCTGAGACACAACCTGTCACCAACACTGCCTGTCACTGCCCCGGAGGGCTCTGCAGCAGCTGAGCTGTGCACTGAGGCTGCCAGAGGCTGCCTGGGGCAGAGAGAGGATATTCACATGGCCACGGGAGATCACTGCATGCAGTGCTGCCATGGGAGGCTCACAGAGAAACAGCAGCACCTCCAAAGGTACCAGGGCAGCAGCCTCTCACCTCACTCACAGTGCCACACCAAGGCAGGGCTCTGGGTACCCAGTGACTTTGCTCATAGAGCCACCAAGTTCCTTTTCTCTACATAATCAGCCTGAGGATGACAAAAGCTGTTGGTGCCACCACCTGCTAGCAAGGACACTGCTATGGACATTGTGAGGACCCAGTAGA